TATTTATTTTTATCCCCAGTTCTTTACCGGCTGTCATCAACGTTGTCATTAATTTTTATTGTCCCCGCGTCTTCCCTTAGCAGTATCAAATTGTTCAATTGGCGGTATCAAAAAAGGATCGAAACAATAATAAATTTGCTAAACTAAGGAATTAATTTTAAGAGATGAATATATGTTCATGTTCTACTCTTTTCCACTTAACCTTATTTCATTTTCAAAATGACGTTTTCAGACCATTTTCTTTTCCTTACCCTTCCTGAACGAAAGAATGTATTTTGAATTTTTGTAGTAACTTGCTTTCCAATTATGGGTATGACTTTCTGGCAACGAAAGTTGGTTAGTTACCAGTCTATTATATGATTTTTAACCACACTGTGTGGATACTTTTGCATTTTGCGATTTAGTCAAGAGTATTTCATCATTTTTATGGCAACAGAAATAAGGCAACATTTCATAACCTTCAATCACTAAGAACTTTGATAGTTTTTCCGTTGTGAAATCAGGAAATTGTGCAGTTGTTATAACTAATTATACCTGATGTATTCTATAAAAGGGTTCGATTCGTTTTAGTGTACTTGATGTGGTTTTTTTTGTTGTTGATTTTTTTACGATCGCTTTTAAGGTCGAATTTCACAAAAAAAGATCCTAAAAGTTCAACTTCATAAATAATAAACTGACGATAAATATTTCACATATAATTTTTTTTAATTTAGCATTATGGAATCAATGTAAGCCAACAATAAAATTGATACCAAGTTTAACCGTAAACGGCCGAGTCTGCTGATTGACCCCGAGACTACTAAAGATATAAATATCATGACATATTTTAGAGACTATTTTAAGCTTAAATTAATAAGAATTTCACATTAAATCTCTCTCAACGAACTATGGATTTTTATGTTAGAATATGAGTTTCATTTCCTGAAAATATCGGTGGAGACCATGAAAGAGAACTAAACAGAACTGGCGCAAAGTTTCTTACATCTGAAACTTAAAAAGCGGGCAGAAACTTGCAGGAAGTTGCAGGATTGCTTCTTAGATTGCCATTTTTTTTTTCAGTCAGCAAGAGGAAATGACAAAATGCGGTGAGATGTTGGCTTCGTATCAATGGTTGATAACTCGCGGTAGTTGGTCGATTGCGGCCCCCGGTGGAGGGACCGGCTGCCATTGCCCAGCAGCAGACCCCTCTCAGGCAGCTGGGAAGTGCTCCACCAGCAGTCCGCTCGATGGCAGTCGCAGATCGCTCTGGTTCCATTAATCATCATTGATCCAGGTCGGCATGCCTATTAGGACCAACAAGTTCTTCATTCACTCCACCGTAATAAAAAAAACCACACCACGATGCTTGGTTAACATACATCTTGAAGATAAACAATTATTATTCACTATTGGAATCAATGGGAGGAGAGTGAGGGATATAATATAAAGCAATGATCTGAAACATATGCATAAATTATAAGTGGCTGCGTCATTGATGTATAAAAATTGTCCGAGTTCGATGATTTTTTTTTTCATTTCTGTAGAGCATTTAGAAATATTTTGAGTATAAGCTAACGCAAATTTTAAACTCTTTGAGTTGTGCGTAACTGCATGTAAGTTATGCGGAACGTAACTTTATTTTCTTCTTAACTCTTTCTCTGGCTTTCTGGGTGGAGTTTAGTTTTCGTTATTGAAGGACAAGGTAATCTTGAAAACGGTGGACCTTTGACAAATAATAAATAAAGATTTCATTTTTTAATAGTTAAATTTTTATAGTTTAAATAGTTTAGAAAAAAATATTTAACGTTTGGTATGAAAAGGTGGTAGGTAAAGTTTAGTGGTTGGTAGGGGACTGTTATGTTCAACGCTGTATCATACAAAACAGGCCGAAATTATCATATAAAACATCATTCCCAAAAGATATACGTTTCTGTTAATTTCGAAACCAGTTAAAATTAATATTACTATTTTATTTTGCTTTTGTTACAAATTATACTGAACTGAAGACCCTTCATGGGTTGTAGTTTTACAGTTTGTTTTTGTTTTCGATAATCACAATACATAAACTAGGTCCAAATAATATATGAATCATTTCAAGTTAATAAGATATGAGAACAACGGAGTAACCCAATTAAAAAAATAGGGGTTTCACGGAATAGATATAAAGGGTAATTTTAGTTATAAATACAAATTAAAATTTAAGATTTAATTATTTTTATATCTTCATTGTTTTTATCTCTTTTAAATTATTTCGGCTTGTTGATTTTAATTTGGGGTTGTTTTGAATGATATAGCGTAGAAAAGGGCAGCTCCCTGGCTACCACTAGACTCTTCTTATCACCTAGTAATAAACGTTAATGACTTATTCAAAACGGTTCAAACATTGTCTTTTCTCTTAATGTGCACAATATAAATTAATTATTAACCTTGCTATTTAAAGCAAACACCCTTAGTATTAATTTTATTCTTGTCATAAATGAAATATTGAAAACAGGAGATAATAATGAGAGGTTGATCTAATTGAAAAATTAAATCAAATAATTTTACCTGATTTATTTATTGATTTTCTTAACGGAGAATCACATTGTTTTTGTTGATCGGGTTTGGCGTTAACATGAAGAGTGGCCTAAGTTAGATCATCGATATTAAGAAGTAGCGGGTTTTCCTATAGTTTACTAAATGGTTATGTATCATAGTTATGTCCGAAAAGGCTGATTAAAAATTATTCATTATTTATGAGGAACATATATACACTATTAATACATACTTTATATGAATGTTATATGATGTGTATAATGAATATTACACGCTTGCGCACTCTTAGGAAAGAGGAGGTACACTACGTTTTGTCTTAGCGTTAATGTATTAACCCATGCATGCACGCATGCATCGACTTTATTATTAAATAATTTTATACTAATTTTTTTAAAAATGTTTTTGTATAAAAATACAAATAATTTTAGAGATTAAATTCCTGAAATGCTGTTTTTCATCTTTCTTGAGATATTAATAACCTTTAGAATTGGAAAAATGATTTAGTTATCAGACTTACAGTGACTTCAAAGTTTAGATGATTCAAATCGATAGAGCTTGAGTAGAGAATAACGGCTATTTTATATGTGAATAGATTTTGTTGAGGATCAAGAATTCCTTACATCACCTATACCCCTTTCCTTGCGTACTTAAGCAATTCATCCTCCCGAAGTGAAATTTCAATTACAAAAGCTAATCCCCCGTAAATCTCCTGAATATGATCTCCTTATCCCTCAGACCCTTCTACAACTTCCTTAAAAATCCTTGAAAAGATCCTTTTGAAACGACTCCTGCCACTCAGAGAATCCTAAACTCTTCCTTCCCATCAGTTTGGTTTTCGCTCAAGACATTCCACTGTACAACAAGGACTTCGAATCGTTGATCATATATCCCTAGAAAACAAGCAATACGGTTCGGGTGTATTTCTGGACATAGCACAGGCTTTTGACCAAGTATGGCACCCCGGGCTGTTCTACAAGCTTAAAATCCATCTCTCTCAGTCGTTATACCTAATCCTTCGATCCTACCTCTCTGACCGCTCCTTTCGAGTACGTTGCGGAACGGCATTTTCCGATATTTATCCAATTAAAGCCGGTGTTCCCTAGGGCAGCGTCTTGGGTCTCGTACTTTACATCCTCTTTACCGCTGACATCCCTGCTCATTCCGATACCTTCCTTGCAACATTTGCTGGTGACAGTGCAATCCTATCCATCCAACTCAGATCCTGAAATAGCATCCTTAAATCTACAAAGGCACCTCTCCCTTATTGAACACTGGTGTAATGAATGGCGCATTAAAGTGAATGAGTCGAAATGCAAACATATTACCTTTACTCTCCGATGCAATTCCTGTCCACCAGTGCACTTTAATTCCATCCAGCTTCCTTTCTCAGACACAGTCCGGTACCTTGGATTTCTCTTAGACCGAAGACTGACATGAAACCCAACCGACGATATGTCCAGCTATATAGACTACTGAACAGAAATTCTCAACTTTCAATTGACAACAAACTACTGATCTACAAGATAATATTGAAACCTATTTGGACCTACGGACTGGAACTGTGGGGGATAGCAAAATTTTCTAACATCAAACACATTCAATTCTTTCAGTCCAAAGTCCTTCGAACAATAGTTGATGCTCCATTCTATGTAACCAACCAAACCCTACACCATGACCTTAATATCCCATTTGTCCTAGACCATATTCCTCAAAGATTTTCCAAATTCCACCAAAACCTTACATATCATCCAAATCCAATTGCACGATCACTCTCTAGGACTACTCATCCCTACAATCCTCCCTGAAGGTTGAAGCAGCAGTGGCCCAGAGGCTTGTTATAAAAATTAAAGAATAAAAGTCTGGTTATAGTGTCTCTGCTCAGCCTCCATTGGTAATAACATTGTTGCGGCTGATTGAAAGACGCTGGGATCTCCTAGAGTCCTACCTTTTCCTTCACGACTGTGGGGAAAGACTTGGCTCGGAGATCTTGAGTGACTGAATATTGTATAAAAGCATGTGTGTATTTAAGTATTTATTTTGTTAGATTAGTTAATTTTTGTTTAGTATCTTTTAGTTTATATACATTTACTTTAGTATTATTGTATTGCTGCTTATTATTTTTATTTATTGTGCATAGTATGAATGAGCTACTCTATATCACTATTATTTTGTCCTTGAATGTGACAGATTGTAGTATATCTCAATAAAGAAATTAAAAAAAAAAAAATAAGTTGTTCGGGGATGCGTTCAATAGACACACTATATATTATAGTAGTGGATATTTCATTTGCTAATTGTTCGACCAACGTTTTAGGTCTTCATCAGGGCATTTCATATACCATTGCCGGAAGAAGTTAGGAAACTGGTATTTTATATTCAATATATATGTAAATAAGGTTCAATATTTAATATTTTCTCCCAGAAACGTCAATGTAATATCAAAAAGTATTAAATAATGAAACTATTAGCTATGAGACTATTGTTGGAGCGATGGTTAGGACAGGCGACAGGAGGAAAGGGCAGGCCCTTGGAGGTCTCTTGGCAACCATCGAGCAAACTAGGCGGGCCCTCCGCCTCGCCGACGCCCTAATGCAGAATACTACAGCTTTTACAACCTTCCAGGATCAATACTATCTCCAATTACTATCGCCCTACCTGATCCACTTCTCTGCGGCATTAAGGTTTTCTTTACATCATGGCCAAGCGAAGCTAGTTATAAACCTTCTTAATATTGGCTAATAAACTAATCTGGCTCATAGAATTTCCAAACTTGATAGATTTTTTTCTTAAATAATGAAATATCACAATATATTCAACAAGATATGTTTTTAATCCAAAAGCTGCGTTACAACGAAATAGAAATTTGTGCTTTTTACCAGAGAAATAAGTCGTTTTTAGTGGACGTTCAATAAAAAAATATCACGTTCTAAAATCGCTGACATCCACTCTCAAATCTCTCAAAATAAAAAATTAAATTATTTTTCAATAAGTATATTTATAAGACGAATGTAAGTAATCATCGATTGTATTAACTCACATTAATTATATAAAGCTTAGTAATGAAACAAAAAATGTACTATGTATCCCATTCAAATAACTTAAATCATTATATAAATAGACAAAGAGAAAACATTTCAGTACCTTTTTATTCTTAATTTTTAATGGATTTTCTTTTTCTTTTTTTTTTTTTTTGTTTAGTAACTATTGACGAGCTTTGGTATTATCAATAATTTTTTTGTGGAAGCAGTGTAAATAAATAAAAATATAAATGTTATTGTGCTCAAAACCACTGATCTCCGAAAGCTCGGTTACTTTGAAATTTTGGAAGACATTGCTATCAGATTCAGGAGTATTTTTATATAGAATTCTTTATTATCCCGCCTTTCGTTTCGAAATAGCGTACGAAAAAACGTGTATCGCTAAAAGACTATAGTGCTAAAAGGGCTGTAACGATTTTAATGAAACTTGGCTAAAGTCTTCTTCTTGAAGCCATTTTAACTTATATATACGACGTAAGTACATCTCCGAAAAGAGACTGTAAAAATGCGACGATAGATTCATAGTTTTATTTGCGACTCAAAAAGTATAGAATTGGTACTGAATTTTTTTCTATTGCAAGTACACATTAAAGTGTACGTACGAATGCATAAGAGTAGAAATAAAATTTTGAAAACATGCAAATTCATTTATGTTTTCCTTAAATTTTCAATTGAATTTCGATCACTGGGCTAACACTAGAAAAATGTATTGTACGTACTTCAACATTCACTTGTAAATATAAAATATGACGCCAGTCATATGTATCACTGAAAATGTGAGGTCTGAAGTCTGATATTTTCAAAATAAATTGTATGTCATGTTTTGGCATAATTTGGAACATTTTGACTACCACAAACTTACGAGAAAATTTAAATTTAGATTAATGAAAATATACTAATATCGATGAAATTATTTATATTGAAATAATTTTAATTTTAATTGAAAAATTATCCTTGCCTAACAAGTAAATAACATTTAGGCCGATAGGTAAGTGACGAAATGTAGAAATATTCAGTCTATGCCTTGTATTAATTATTAGCGTATTAAGAGATGCAAGGTTAACTCATTATTTTTTTTTTGTAGTAATATGCCGATGATGGAATTTCTAAAATTAATATTATAAGATTATATGATACGATGATCATTTGAATATACTTTATTAAGGAACATATATGTTTAAATCGTAGGTATCAAATAAAAAAATGAAGTTGTCTTTAATTGGTATAAGGGTAAGAGAGAGAGAGAGAGAGAGAGAGAGAGAGAGAGAGAGAGAGAGAGAGAGAGAGAGAGAGAAGAGGGCTGAGACACACCCGACAGATTATCGACGGACGGGACCCGAAGGGGGTCGGTATTGATTCGGTGCCGTGCGGTCTCCTACACCAAGGCTCTTCATACCTCCACCTCCCCCGCTCTCAGTTCACTGCTACAAATTTATTTCAAAACTTAATTACCAGTTTTATTTCTTGTTTCAAATAGGTTTTATAAATAATATCTTGATATATGCCCAAAAATTTGGTCAGAGATTTACTTAAATGCCCAAAATATACTTAACCGTTTCATATTGAATATATGATTATACAATCCATACCTCAAAATATACATTTTTTAAACATGAAAATTTACTTTTATAGAACAAAATAAGAAAACAAACCGCTAATCTTATTATTATACTTAAATTCCCCTACTATTTTTCTAAGATTATAGATCATGTCTGAAACTTCATCAATATAAAGTTGAGAGTAAAGGCATAAAATAGTTAATGAAACTACAATAGTTAATCGATCAACATTAGCCATCAGAAAGGAAAAACGATTTTTTAAATTAATTTTTTTTTTTTATTGGTGTAAATTCAATTCCAGCTCTGATTCCACACTTCCACACTTCTTTTTTTTAAACTCAGATAAAGATATCTTGCATGGTGGTTAATGAACGATTGTGGCTATTGGTTATAAACCACGCCCATGGTTCCTCAGTATCGGTTGAAATTAGATCTCAAAATTAAATTAATAGAAGTTATGAACTGCTTTCTTCAGGAGTTGGAGCTGCATATCTGACAGAAAACACTGCAAATGTTATAAATCTGTATCAATATAATCGATTTCACTCTTACAACTTAAAATAAGAATAACAATAAATAAAAAAGAAGGAGGAAATATACATAGATATCAAAACAGTATTCTAAATTCACAACATGTAATAAATCACATGTGGTAAAAATAAATTAGTTAATTATGCATTCAAACTAAATAAAGAAAATCCTGATTTGAAAACAATTTCTGTAAATATTTAGCATCGATCTCAGAATTGTGGATTGAAGATATATATGTATTCAATATCTTCGTAAAACAATTTTTAAAATTTTCAAATAAAATAATTAGAAAAAATACTGATTTTTATCGGACGAAAAAATCAATGGATTAAGTACATTGTAAAAGTAATTCTCGTCTTCTTAATTAAGATTGTTAGTTTCATGATTTTATTTAGAGAACACATTACTTTATATTTCTTTTTACCTGATCGATAAGATTATCTTCCCTGGTTTGATAATAAAATTACATTTAAATTAAATATAGATAGATTCTGATTTATTTAAAATTGTCGTAACAAAAAACATTTTTGCGATATTAATTTAATTAAAATAAAACCACAATTAAAATTATTTCTATAAAAAAAACATTGGATTTTAAAAATATTTATGCTATGTCTGTTTTATCAAACAATATTTCACAAACGATGTGACGATACATATTTTCATCGATTTTCAATTTTTCCTTATTATATAAACAATAGTACAACAGCATTACGTTATAGCTAAAGCCAATGCATCAACTTGGTGTTGAAAAAGGCCTTAAAATCAAACAGTCTTTGAAATCGAGAAAATATCCTCGTTAACTTTATTGGATAAATAGTTCACATAATTGCAATATAGCGCATCCGGAATGCAGTTATTATATATTTCTTGTAATAGAATAGTTACTGATGAATATTCTTTTGATCATTTAATTATTTAATTTTGAAGAATGAAATAAATTTTACTATTAAAGTTGTATAAAAGAAATTAGCAAATATGTTAACTAATAATGTGAATATAAGTAAAATATAATTAAGGCATAACTAAAACATAATAATATTAACTAAACCGAATACTGGAACTTACAATCTTGCGATACATTATTAAAGATAGGAAATACAAAATTCTTTGATTAAACTGAGATGCTTAATAGTTATTATTTCATTATATTAATACCGTTTGATTTCATGAAAGCCAGGAGGCTAGAATCATAAAACGACCTAGTTTTAAAACGATCGCCTTCTAATCTAATTAAGTAATCGGTTATTTTAAAAAAAAACACATTAAAATAGGCGAATTCATATATCTCCATTTTTAAATCGTTACTGTGTTAAAAAGAAATATTTCTTTTTATAATTACGTGAAATAATTCTAGTTACATACATGAATAACGTAAATTATGTCTTTTTTTATCAAATATATAAATTAACATTTATTAAGTCACTTTAAAACTGTCCCGATGATAAAATAATTATACCCAGTCTATATTTGATTGTTTTTTCGTGTTACACTTTTTTACAGTTGGGTAGAATAAGGTCTCAAAATAGAAGGAATTTCCTGTGATTAGGAATCAAGGATGTTATAGCAGATCGATATATCTAAATTATTTCTTAAATTTTATGGATCACGTATGACTATATTTTCTTTTATATTACTCATTCTTTTATTATTATACCTCGCAATGAGAATATAAAGTAAATAAATTAATTCAATATTCTGGTTTCGATAGGTACATTAATTGTCTCTGAATAGTTTTATCGGAGCTTTATAAAATTTGGAATTATAATTCCCGTATTTATGGTGGTTTTTATTTCTGATCGGAAATGAAACCAGCTAATGATATTAGAAAGGATGACATAACCATTTCATAGGCGGATCGCTTGAGATGATTAGGAAGATTGATAACTGACTAGAATTAAAATCACTTACACGACTCTCTATGTTATTCCGCCTTCTTATTACAGTTGACTTTTCATCATTTCAATTCGCTATGCGAATAAAACCAAGGATTATAAATATATATATTATGAGTATTATAAATTATTTATGCATTTAAACAACTGTTTGAGTTTGTAATTAAGCTATTATAAATATAATTTAAAATATACTAGCTCGAAAATCTTTTTATTTAAGATCCCTAACATCTGTCATACATCTTATGAAAGATGAGTTATCTTGAAGAATTACTATATTGAATTTTTCATAGATTAGAGCTGAAATAAAAAATTATACAAAAGGTCTTCAAGGGATAAGTATAAGATCCGCAGTGACTGACGCCTGCGTCTTAACACTAAATAGTCCTCAAAAAATATTTTGATCATTTTTGAGCAGAGTACAGAAACTAATATTTTGTTGGGAAGTATAAAAGGGATATCTGTATTACTGAATGACCCACCCGATGGCTAAGGGCTGGGGGAAAACAGAAATAACGATCAGATGGGAGGGTCGTTTTGTCTAGTAAAAGGGTCCGAGAGCGAAAACCATTTGGTTGACCTAGATTTCAGCGGGTACAGGGGCTGGAACTCAGGACTAAACCTTATCCCGATAATTTGAGACTACCTCCGTAATCAATCCTTAGATTGAAAATTAAAAAACAAGTAATGCCTATCTATCAATAAATGAAATGAACAAAACTAAATAAAACAGTTAATGGCCAAAAAACTTATTTACCTAATTTTCAAATTTTGGCAATGCATAGTAGAGTTAAGCTATTTGCCTGATGTTCTTAATAAAAGTGCAGTTTCTTACAGTTTTCTAATGATAATTGTTAATTTTGATGTTCTGGACTGAAGTGATTCTAAATATCCTACCACAACTTAAAATCCGCTAATTTGAATGCCAAGTATAAATTAGATAAAGTAAATGATATGAAGTGATAAGGTGATATTCCTTGTCCTTCTCTCACTCACATATCTACTAAGATATGTTTTATCTAATTTCCAACCTCCGGTTCTCTCTTAAGGAGGGAATCTCATTCTGCTGCAAGAAGTATAGTTCGACTTCTTGCAGTAGAATGAGTTCTGCTGTTTCGAGTATTATGGTAAAGTAAAGAAGGCGTTATTTCCAATTCTACAAAAACATTTATTCATTGCAAGAATAAAAAATATAAACAAAAATAAATAAATAGGGACTTGAAAAGTGGTATTGATCAGAGAAGAAGAGGGGGCTGCGGCCGGGGATACGTCACCCCCTTATTGATCCATGCGCAAACCTTCCCGCCCCCATGGCTACCTTCCACTCTTACCTAGGTACACTTTATTTCAAATAAAAAAATAAAACTAATAAGAAACTATAATTGTTACCATCCAAGATAGTTTAAGCAAACTGGTTATTATCAGAAATCAAGTCTCAATGAAACGGAACAGGCAAAAAAAAAAAGCTAAATTCATGCAAACACTTGCTTAAGCTTTATTGAATATTATAGCTGAAGTTAGAATTCTTCGGAAGATGTCAAAAAAGATTTGTTGAAGGCTAAGTCTTGGGATGAGGGAAAATATTCGACGAAGGGATAAAGAGACAACTCACCCCATGATGAAAAGGTGCGGCCTAAGAACTGCCCCGTCTCGGAGTTCCATAGGAAAGTGGTGAAGGCAGCCCAATTCCCAACTTTGGCCGGCCTTGTGTAGAACTCCTCCTTCGCCTTGTCCGCCATCTCACCCTCGACTGCGGGATCGAACCGCCTCCCCTCCACCGCCACCCCGATCCCCACCGCTCTCCCCCGCCTCCTTAATAAAATCTCCACTCTATTTATTATATCATCAAATCTATAATCCAAATATATCCACTCTTCTAAAGATTTTAAAAACAATCATTTCAATTTCTTATAGGGAAATAAATATGTTCATGGTATTCAGTAACATTAATTAATATGCGTTTTCATCTAGAAAAAATTTAAGAGCCACATAAAAATTAAAAAAAAAAAAAGAAAGAATGGAACCCAAATTTAAGTCTATTAAATTGGCTATTCATATTAATAAATTGAATTTGAATATTTTAGCTACTGAATCTTTCTTTGAAATAATAACCAGAATGGTAATTTAAAAACAGATAGGTTAAATATAAATAAAAATTTTTAGCGAAACAAGATAAAAAAATTATAAGTGTTATAGAAGGTCAATAATGTCAAATTTACGCTTTTAAACACTTTGCATGGTCCAATATTACATTGATCTATCGGAATTCATCTCATGAGTTCATTCGCACATGAGTAGTAGTAGTTAACAAGACATTACCACAGTAATAGAAGTTAAGTAGGTGTAATCAAAAATTTACTAACAGCACTATTATTGGGGATTTATTCACTAACAGATTGCTAAGAATTACGTTTTGATAGTAATATATAAATATGAAGAGATCGTTTGTTTGAATGAGTTAATTTTAGGAACTAATAGTCTGATTTAGGTCCTACAACAACAGGTTCACAGTCACATCTATCAATCTAACAGAAACTGTAGACTATAATGCTAGCACATATTTGCGCAAATATCGTTTTTAATCGTTATGAATAAAAGTTAGGGGGAAATGATTAGCACATTAAAGTCGATTTATTAAGTGAAGACTATTTTTCCCATGAATAGTCTAAATGTAGCAAACCAGTAAATACCTACGGTAGGGAAGAAAGAACTTACTTACTTATTTTCGGTGTTCCAACGTTGGATACCTCTTCAGGTCAGGGCAGAGCTCCACACATCTCTATCCTCCCAGTCACCCTCCTGTAGACCTCGGCCGGCCATCTCTTCTCGGACTCCTTCCATCCACATGGTTCTCGGTCGTCCTCGCCTACGCTTTCCGGGTGGCTGCCAGTCCAGGACTCTGTTAGACCAATGCTCCTCTGACATTCTCCTGCAATACCCATACCACCTCAATAGTCGTTTCCCGATCCTCTCAGAGACGGTCTCCTCTACACCTATTCTCTGTCTCATCACTTCATTTCGGACTCTGTCCAGCCTCGTTAACTGTAGACACCTTCTCCGAAAATCCATTTCTACAGTCCGAATTTTGGCATACAAGCTAACACGGTTGATAGTCGTCAGCAAGTCTAGTATGACTAATTGACTCGAGTAAGGGCATCATAGTTAGGGAAAGTTATGATTCTAGGTAGGATCGGAGGAGTTGGATACTACATGATATTTGGATTAGGTCAAGCGGCGATAAAAAGAAGACTGGTAAAATCAAGACAGGAAATGAGACCACTGGGAACTCTGCTGCCTCACGCCAACCAAAGATCTAATCCAACTTCTACATCTCGACATCTCGATGGTTGTCGGAACTTCTGACAGGTTTGAGTGGGAAAAATGAAGTTAAAAAATAATAATAATTACCAATCACAAAACGTTGTTTTTAAATATTTCCAAAACTTTGAATTTTGTAAAATTCATAACGCGTATATTTTATAAATATATGTTATGCAGTACCAACTTGAAGAGAAATAATATAGTGTAAAAGACAGAAATAAGTTTTTCTGTCAATTACACTATATTATAGGAAGTATATAATGTGTTTCATATTGTTAAATAAATTTATTATTCAAGAACACTGAATGAATATAAAAAATTAGGAAAAAAATTAACTTTTAAATATGATGAACCATGTACCATTCAATATCTAGATTTTATTCACTCGTGAACCAATCATTTGTACATCTTGAATTTGAGGATGATAAATATATATATATATATATATATATATATATATATATATATATATATATATATATATATAATATCAACAAAAACCTAAGATGACGTGCTTATGATTTTCAAAATATTGAAAATACGCATAGAAAGTTCATATATTCAGCATTTGAGAAAATCTCACTGATGTTTAGTCTATAATTATTCTTATTTAGCAATGTTTCTAGTTGGAAAACATCTCTCTTTAGCTCAATCAAAAAGTTATTTTAAATTGGCAATGGCAAAAGTTAAAACGAAATGGCAAGAATGTGGTAGATTTGCCATTAAATAAAATGTTTAGTTATACAATACAATACAATTTGAGTGCTTGTGTAAAGAAATTTCCCCAAATACTTTTTCTGTGAATATGTTTCATTTATACGCAAGGCGCAGAAGACATAGAACTCTATACGACCCTCCGTTAATTTCAAACAGAATTTTAGACGTTGAACCTAATATTATTAATCCTATTTTGGATATACCCTTCTCTCTTGGTGAGTTGAAAGCGGTTTTGGGTAACTCCAACAATAACAAGGCATCAGGAATTGATAGGATCCCTTATGAATTTTACAAGTAACCTCCCGATTCCTTTTTAAATATTTTATTGGCTACATTTAATAGAATTTTTGAAATGGGGTATGCCCCTTTAACATTTAAAAATCCATTATTTTCCCATTATAAAAAAAAGGGGATAAAAATTTCGCTCCTAATTACAGAGGAATCTCCTTCATTAATGCAATTGCCAAGTTATATCTGGCCTTGATTTTGGCTAGATGTCCCGACTGGATTGATGAAAACAATATAATTAAAGAAGCTCAGGCTGGTTTTAGACAAAAATATTCAACAATCGATAACGTATTCACATTAACTAGTCTAACTAAAGTAAAATTACCAAAGAAAAGGGAAAAAGTTTAAGCATTTTTTGTAGATTTTTCTACAGCATTTGATAGTGTGGATTTTTATAGTCTAATTTATAAATTATACCAGCTAGGATTTTCATCTAAATTAATTAATTCAATTAAAAGTTTGCTTAGCGATACTAATGCTTCAGTTTGGGGTTTGGATGTTTTGAAGAAACTATTTAGTATGAAATCGGGTGCAAGACAAGGTTGTTTGCTTAGTCCGATTCTATTTTCGTTATATATAAATGATTTGGAAGAGAATTTAGATGGTGATATTTGTGTTGAGGAAAACTGTAAAATTAAGTATCTGGCTTTTGCGGATGATATCGTTCTCCTACCTTTACATCCAGCGACAGCACAGAGTAATATAAATTTCCTAGTAGACGAATACTGTAAGAAATATAATCTGAGAGTAAATTTCGAAAAATCTAAAATAATGGTCGTTCGCAATGGCGGTAAGCGATCACGTAAAGAAAGATGGTTCATGGGCTACAAAAGTTAGACGTAGTTCAACAGTATAAATACTTAGGAATAGTTCTCACGCTTACTCTCTCAATGTCCAAACACCTGGCAGAAAAACTGGAGAAAGCCAACATGGGTTTGAATTTGGTTTGGCGCCAGTTTATGGAAAACAAAAACATAGCTCAATCCAAAAATTTGCAAGTATTTAATTTTGTTTGTAGAGCAGTGATGTGCTATGGAGCACAAATCTGGGGTGGGGTAGTTTATGAAGCCGTGGAAAGACTACTAAGGTTCTTTCTTAAAAAATTATTTAAATTACCAAAGTATAATACTTTGGTAAAGTATAATATTTACTTTACTAGTAACCCCAACACATTATATTCACTTTGAGACTAAAATAGATCCGTTATTTATCTTCACAATTAAACTTCATTTTGATTACATTATAAAAATATTGAATCTTTCACCACATAGATATCCAAGAATATTCGTACTACAGATAATTAAAAAAGAAATCGCATGGTTTAGGGACTTACTTAATTTGATAGAGCTGCATGGATTAAATTTCAATTTAAACCGACCTAGCTGTGATGATGTTAAACTATGGAGAGCTAATTTATATTTACTAAGAACTCAAATTCAGAAAGACATATATAATCTATATGTAAATAAAATTCAGAATTCTAAAACTTTCACTATTTATCCTCATTTAACTTCAGTAAATTATATTGATGACAAAAGTTCATTGAATGTGATCAGATGAGTAATTAAAATTAGAGTTGATGTTTCGAACTTAAATTATAAACAGTTCAAGCAAACAAATAATAATTGTAGCATGTGTAATACAAACGAAATAGAAGATCTCTATCACTTTCTGGCTGCTTGTCCGATACTCTCTGAATTTAGAATTAAATCGTTAATATCTAGAAATATATCTCGGGATCAAGTAATAGATTTAATAAATGGGAACAATTGGATAGCATTGGTAAATTACTGCAAGTCTGCTTTCTCCTATAGAATAATGCTCACCAGAGAATTTAACAATTAACAAATTAGAGAATTTTGGTACCACTCTTTTTGTAATTAAAATATTTATATAACTTTTACATTGTAAATATAATTGTTCTTATTTTCTTATTAATTAGCTAGATATAAATAGATAGAAATATAATTTTATTATAAAACACAAACTCCTCTGACGGTCAACAGACCATGTAGGACGTCTGATTTTCGGTTTTAAATCCAAAAATATTATTTTGTATAGTTTTTTAATTTATATAATGTAGTTCTGATAAATATAAAGAATTTTTTTCTTTTTCTTCTTCATAGAACTCTCAGTTAAGTCCCAACGCCAACTCCATATTTCAATTAAAATATTTTACAGATCAAAGTAAAATACAATCTTTCTATTTAGTATTTTAAAATACATTGTTTGAAACTGTATTGTCTTTTTTAAAATACAAAAAAAAAGTACCTGTATTTTCTTTCCAAGATATAGATATACAAAAAAAAGTATTTAATTTAGTATTTTAAATGCACAAAATAAATTACCGTATTAGGAAAGTCCTTCCAAATTTCGTAGCAAGCCTGGTCGTTTGCATAAGAATTGTCGCCA